TACTTCGGGGTTTAATACAAGAAGGAGCACCGTAGGCGGGGGGGGGGGCACATACCTTGACGACCTTGTTTGACATTCGCATCCACAAAGGCGCCATTGATTCGGCGATAGAACATCTTGAAATCTCACCAGTACTGGTTGACCGACTTTCTCTTCCCCTTCTTCCACTTCTTTGCCAGAAGGGTCTCGCAAAATCAGTGGAGGAACGACATCATCCTCCCATTGTTACAATTCTTCTCAAGGATGACTGTATGCCAATGCCCTAGACGATTAAGGTCACAGTATCTGCCTGTTATTAGCCCAACTTGGTTAAATCACCAAGATGTAGGTCACACGAGCATAGCTGGTGAGTTTCTGCCTGATATAGTAGACGTTGGCCTTTGTGTTATCCGAGTCCAGTGGCTGTAAAAACTACTTCTTATTCAGATCAACCTCCATGTGCTGATAGTATTTCCCGCTCAGCATCTCCTTCTCCTTCTCCTTTAATATCCTGTTGACATCCCTCCATTGTTCAAGAACATTCTCGATGGTTTTGAGAGTCTCCTCCGCTCGAATTGGGATCATGGGGGCCATGGTCTCGTCGGGAGTTTTGAGAGGGTGGGCAGAGGTGGAGGGTTATTTTCGAGGAGAATCAAATTCGAGAGGTATTAAGGATAGCGAGACGTCGACTTCGGGGGTGTTAGCCAGAGAGTAGGCAGTGAGGGGGGGGGGTGAGGGTACTGACAAATGAGTATTTAAGGATAGATATGATGTTGTGGGCCGTGGATGAGGCAGCGGAAAGCGAAGAGAGAGAGCGGGCTTCGAGAATCTTTTGCAGAGGAAGGGACTGTGGCCAAGGGAAGTGTCCAGAACGGCGAGGAGGACACCGGACCAGTTGAGAGCCCTCCCCTAAAATAAAAAAGTCAGGCAGAATGGAAAAGCACTGGAAAAAGATATCATACCAAAATAGAGGAAATAATTGTTACAACAAATAGTCACAATTTCTCCTTCACATAGCTTCATCAGAGCAAGAGGGTCTGCCAAAAAGCTCTAGCCTGATTTGCAGTCTTTAGGAAACGCAACCTGGATGTGCTGGCCTCTAGGGAAGAATAGCAACTTACCAGATAGGGGGTATAGCTGGAGGTAGTACAATACCAGCTACACACTGCCGGGAGTTCCAATTGCTTAAACGAGCGAGTATTGTATTGTTCGAACACTATTCCCAAACTGTAGCAGATACCCTTTGGCAGAGTGGCCGGGGGCTTAGGGGCACCTGGGTTGTGTTCTTTCTCCCTACACCACGAAAACTCAATAGGCTTCCAAGCGACTTCAAAAAATATAATTTGCAAAGCCTTCTATGGGTTTCTCCCATTTTTAATTCATGTTTGTCGTATTATCTCGAGCAAGCAAAGCCCTTTGCGACTTAACTTTCACATGCGGAAACCGTTGTCTGGGTAAGTTAGGTATCGTCTAATACCGGGGGGGTTTGGTAATAATACCTGCTACCTTGAACCAATGATAGAAGAGATCTCAGGGATTCTTATGATAATATTATGGATAATTAAATTTTTATAAGGCTCCTCTCCTCCTGATAGGGTTACCAGTCCTACGAGTGCGGGTGGCTACCACCTTTCCTTTCCTTACGAATCACCCATATTCTCATTTGCTGCAAGCACGACTTATTTCAGAATGTTGAGCACTTTTCTGCCCAACCAGGCTTAAGCACCCAGGTCTATACCATATATCCTCTTGGGCTCGGGAAACTAATCACACTAGGAGACATGGGTATCGCCACAGGGCCAGAGGTGGCAGAGGATAAGGAAACCACTGTATCATACTACGATAAGTCAATATTTGTCTTATATGTCGGGGGCACTGTATGGGAGCTTGTATAAACAGGTGTTTGTCTACAATTGATTGGACAAGCCATGAATCACAACAGGATTGAGATTTTTGGGCACTACTGACTCTCCACCGTATCACACTCAAATTAAAGGCGATAGAGAGGGTCTTGGTACTGTACATCGCCCAACACGTAGAAACTCAACTGGAGAAGAATCCCATTAATTCCACAGGGTGTCAATACGTAGCATCTCGGGAACTTTGAGGCATGAGATGTGCCAAGATAGTTCCGCATGGGAAACATCAATTGCGATTGACTCAGAGCTCATCTATCTTGGGAATTGACTTGTTTCGGATGGATGCGATGCACTAGTACAAATTTGACGGAATCCCATATTGTGCTTGGGTGTTACTGTAGCGGGTTGGTAAAATTCGGGTCCACTTCCGAAAGGAGAAGTGGCCATCACCCGGGCAACACTCTGGGCATGCAACCGGACCTGAAATGCTCTTACCCCAGTACGGTACCGTACCGTACTTGAGTTGGTACTCGTACTCGTACGCCTGAGTACTAGCCGTTTTCCAAAGTATCCGGACATCTTGGTGCCAAGACATATAGCAGGCGTGTCAAGATGTCCGAATACTTTTGAAAACGTCTAGTACCGTTCCGTGCTGTAGCAGATACTATACAAAACTCGGGTGACACAAAACAAACCCTTACCACAGCCCCCGCGCACTCCCCATACCACCCCTCCAATCAAGCACCCTCTTTCCACTTATGGTATCATATCATACAATGTCATGTAAATATGGGTATCATACTCGCAGTGGGCCTAAGCGCTTCTTACTCGAGTCAAAACAAAAACAACAAAGACTTACTATCAGAGCCCTCTCAAGCCCAGTACCGGTATGTGGTGGGCCGCTATGGAAAGGTCTCGAGCCAACTATTTCTCAATGCCCGAGGTATCTCGTGTGTTACCTTTCCAAGCCGTCCCCAATACTGGTAGACACGTTTCCCGCGTTGAGCCCTTCGATTACCCTGACGAGTGATTTATATGAACGCGCTCCTGCCCTTGTGAGTCAAGCTTTGTTTCAACCCCGTCTTGCTAGCGCCGAGCTCTTAATTTCCCTCTCCCATAAAAGGACAGCTTCAGTTCCCACGAAACCATCTCTTATTCGGGGTAGATACGGTTCTGGTTCTGTGCTTTAGTTGGTCAACTGGTATGATTCCGCCCGCTTTCCCTTTTAAGCTATCCGATGGCTAAACTTTCTTGACAACAAACAGACTGTCCCTATTGGACCTCTCGAACATGTCCAACACCTCGTCTCCTCATGGGACTTACATCCCCGTGCGACCGGTGGTAGACTTAACCTCCTTACACCGGTCGGACGCTTCTCGGAGAGCAAAACTCTCCACACCCTGGAACTTCTCCTGCCCCCCTGTTAACCCAAGAGAAGCTTGCATAATTCTCGCCGAAGCCGTCGACAACATAACACCCACCTGGAGCATGTCGGGCCAAAGCTACATCCCAAGCCGGTTAAACGACGAACTCGCTCAATACCGCGATATAGACTATGATTTCAGCCCAACCGATCCCCGAGTCGAGCGCATGCTAGAAGACTTCGAAATGTCCGAAACCGAGGACTGGAAGTTCCACACGATGCTGTTCAACGATCTGTGCGGGAATCAGTGTGAGGGGAATCCTCTTGACGAGATAGACCTGTACGAGGCTGGGTTACTGGATAGCGTAATGGTGTCTCTGCTAGAGGGAGAGTATCAAGGGAGGCTGTTAGACGAGGCGCTGTTGGAGGATCTAGAGAGGTATGAGGAGGAGGAGGAGGAGTTTTGGATGAAGAGAGGGGTCGCGCGGGCGTATGGAATGTGGGGTGGGGATGATTGCCAGGTGGGGTTGTGTGGCTCATGTCAGGAGAGCACATGCCACTTGGGGCATGAAGAGATAGAAGCGAACTCTACGTTTCAGGCGGAGCACTCGGGGGATGTCACTAAGAAGCCGGTTGAGGAGGAGCGGGCCACCAAACCCCAGATCTACGAGGTGCTCTGGTGGAAGCAAATGTGTAAGCACGGCGAGGATGGAGCACCTGGAGTAGTTTTCTGGCACGGGCCCCCCAGAGGCCCAAATCAGCCCACCGAACCCCGGAAACCCACCCATAAGGAGGTGAGCTCACCCATGTTCGAAGCCATGGAGTACTTGGTAAATCGCCCCAACCTTCACTTTACGCAATGTGCTGTGTTTCTCCTAACTGTGACAGGAACCCCATGATAACGACCTGACAAGTTCAGGTAGCGAGTGCGGCCAGAACAGCATCTACGAGGAACTGCCGGAGGAGGATCCTGATTGGATCAAACTGGATGAGAGGGAGCATATCACTCTACCGTCACCGCCAAGTCCCATAGTCGAGACTTACGTTATTGAAATACCCAAGATCCCTGAGCAAGATGAGGCTTGGACACTAATTGTACCTTCATAATAGAAATGGAGTTACCGAAGTTATAGGTTCCAGCGGGGGGCGATGATACATTCCGTATCTGGTCTTGACTATCTCAATGTTAATGTGTTTTTACCCCTGCTGAAATTTGAGAAGCGCGGGCTCTTTTTTCTTTTTTGCGGTCCTTTGCTTCATTGCTCCTACCAAGGACAGAAATTTGTTTAGACTATAGTGTCACGGGATAAATGTTACCAGCATTCCCTCAGGTCAACTTGGCGTGAAAATCGACCCTTTTTTCTCATTGGGAGATGGTATGCCGAATCGGTATCCACCACTTGGGTCGTCAGCTTATCACTCGGCATTTGTTAGCGTAATTGAGGTCTGGCGGAAAAGCTTTGCCTGACCGGGCTTGCTAAGTCGATGGAAGGCCTGGGAACCCATGTGTATCGGTAACCCTGCATACCCCGCCCCGTCAATCCCGCACGGCGTGCTGGGGGCACTCTCTCGTCGTATTGAATTTGTACTCTCATCACTCATGTTCGTTCCCCCGAAGTGTTTCTGTCCAGGAGAAATAAAATAAAAAGCATTGAGGTATGATACAATTCACCGACACCCTGACGGCATCTCCCTCGGGGCCGAATGCCAGTCCTGGGTTGCGTGTCTACCTGATTGCGCGTGGATAACTGCGCCCCCCCGATCCCCCTTCGCGACATCTATAAGCCGGGGTTAAGGACTGTAGCGACGGGCTGCAAGTTATAGCCCAAATTTCGGAACATTTCGAGGAGATACACATCTAGACCCCCAGTGGATTAACTTAGCCCACTCCTGGGCAAGGATTTATCATATTATACCTCGTAATAGGGATCCGCGTCTCACCGGATAGGATATTTTCTTATTTCCTCGAATACCGGTAGGCTGCTGTGAGCTTAGGGGGTGGTATTTTATTTTATTTTTACCCAACCAAGGCTTTTGAACCTCGAAAGTATCCGAGATGGTGTATCTCTGCCCTGTATCTAGCGTTAGCCCTAGGCCGGCTCACTTCACCGCATAGTCCCAAATAATCAGAGCTATGATATGATACATAATCTTAACGCACTCTTGCTCATTTACCACTCACTCGAAATAAATAGCGCACAACCGAAGCGAGCCTCAACCGTAGCTGATATTGTCATACCATATCACGCAAACACAAGTAACACCTCCTGGGACTGGCGCATGCTATCTATGGTAAACAAGTGGCGTTTCAAAATGTATTGCCTTATGGAATTTGAACGGAGGTTATTTTATCAGGAATCCTAACTATAGGCCGAAAGTTTAACTCTGAATGTGTGATATGATATGTGTGATAATATTATCATATTATGGGCCTGTGCCAATAGAAAACCCACTCTCAGACAACAACCACAATAAATTTATTTTTGCTTCACCACCTAGCTAGAGGTGTAGAGTATATATCTAGCAGCTTAGAAAATATTTTTGGAATTGTAATGACCTCTATAGCATCTGCTATATGCAAAAAAGGTAAAATTTCCGAAATCTACTTTTTAGTATGTAAAATAACCCCAGCTTCTCATACATAAGTACAACTAATAATAATTGCTGATTCTTAAGTATTTGTGGAGTTATTTGACACCAAAGTTGACTGATTTACTGATTTTTGCTGGTTGCATCAAGCTAAAAATGGTGATATCTCAAAACAGCTTTCTTATGTCTCTTTGGTTGCAACACATTTTTCTGCCCGTAAAAATGTCCAAGAGTTCGGGTTTTAATTGGCACAGGTTCATAATAATATTATTATGATAATATGATACCTTATTATTTTAATACCTTTTCGCTACTGGTATTTGAAAAAAAAAAAAAAAAAACCATGCGAAAAATGGGATTGAGGATAGGTGATGAGAGATAGAATATTGTTGTTGCTAATGTGCATTCATGGTGGATGGTACAAGTATGGAATTGGTAGAGTTATCATAGGAAAAAAAACAGAAAAAGAATCTCTCATAAAGTAACCCTGACCCAGCTTATGTGAGGCATTAAGTTTTGAACGCCACAGCATACCGTTCGCTATAATTTATCATACTCATGCCGTATTATACTTGATTCCTATCCTAATCTATACGGCTAGCTACTGGCGCAAACCAACCTAAAACCGACACCTCCACTCAAAAAGGAAACAGAATATATCCATTGTCCCTCCTAGCATTGACGCATTCAATATTAACCTCCAAACTCGCAGAATGCAATTTTGGACTCCAGATAACATATATTTAGGTCCCCCCCAAAAAAAAACCTTGGATGGGATTTGGGTGGGTCTAGGATGATGTTCGTTTCCCTTCGACCGACCAGCCAATACCATGGACCGTCCGTCAAAAGCGGTCGAGGATCCAGAGGTCGAAACCATGTTACATGCCATTTACAGTGAGAAAATGCATGAGCTATGATAACTAGATTTTGTCCGGGGTGTCAGTCCCACCCACACTGAAAAGGCTGGGTGGCTAGATGGGTTTGGATAGACGCAGAACCAGGCCCGGAACGAAAAGAGAACGAGAGGGTTACTATCTATATATTACACAGTATCCCCTTGGAGCTGCTAACCGGGCTTTCCGGTACTTTGAAGGGGCCGAGAGTTCCCCGGTAGTGGTAGAGCTAAGTGGAGCCTGAATAGTGCCCGCCCTTTGAAGGGTCGGTGGGTCGGTGACGAGGCGGACCCCAAAACTCAACCATACCACTGGGTTTATGATGCTGCAGTTGCAGTACTCATCCCCGGGTTTCGTTAAAACGTGCTGTTTAACATCTTTGAAGAAATGGGGTGGCATCGCTTCCCCAATCTCTATGCGTCTCATACATGGAGAGGGAGGTATTAACGTACAAAGATTGTTACCGTAATATGATGGGTACAGCAGCTTGGGCGGCCGGAGTGAGCATCCGGTGCTGTATTACCCAAAATCATCGGGACTGTTATCACGTTCTTGGGGGACTTGGGGCGAGATACCCTTCTGTCTTCCTTCGACAGACTCTTCATTAAGGCCTGTTGAACGCCGCTTGCTCGAAGGACCCATTTCTGTCTGAATTGTTTCCCCCCCATCATCCAGTGAACTGCACTCGTACCCCCTCTAGCCTAGGATGGCATCGAATAGGGACAGCAAGTAAACCACCAAGCACTGTGTCCAGCACAACCCGGTTCGTTTGATTATCAAAGGGGGTATCATACCGTGTAAAACCCCCGCTTGGCTGGCTGGCCGGTAGCACTGCGGGATACATACGGATGGCTACTAGTTTCAAGAACCGCACACCGAACAATCGTTTTTATCACACCTCATTACCGCTACTCTCTGGTATTCACTTTTATCCCCAATTCGCCGTGTTAGACAGCCTGCGGGACTCCAACATTCAATTCTTCAACAAAAAAATAGAGAAAAGAAAAAAACGGACTAGGCGAAGCCCACGGTGGCGTTCTCTATTGGTGTGCAGGTTAACGAGAATCCCCGTATGCCTCCTCTTCCTGACTTGGAACTATGCGCTTTGTGGGATGGGACGGTTGGTTGGAGCTTGGCGGGGTAGGCTAGGTATGGTATATGTGGGTTGTTTGTTCATTGTGGTTCAAGTTGGGTTATTTGAGGCTGGAGGATGTATGAGTGGAGGGGGGCGGGAAGAGTGAGTGAGACTTTAGGGTAGGTGGACAAAGATAGGACGGGAACAAGGAGCAACAAACAGGCGGATTATCTCTCGGACCAGCGAGGCATTGGAAATTTCATGCCACCCCTGGCAGTTCCCGTGACTTAGATAACTAAGAAGTTTAACTCTCCACTTTAGTATCCCTCAATGTTCAGCAGCGCAAGTTCTTGGTTTGATCACATATCCAAGAACATGGTCCAAAGTCCCACACATCCGAAAAAATCTTGGCTCGTTGGAAAAAAGCCTCAAGATACTAACAGGGGCGACACTAGATCCCAAATATCTTGCTGATATCGTGAGGATATCTCTCACCAAGGAATGGGCAAGCCATAACATCGCCAGCATGTGTTTAATAAAATCTATAACAATAATAGAGACAGACTCTGACACAAAAAAAAAAGTATATCAAACCTCCTCCAAGTCAGCCGACATCCCCCTTATCAGGCACTCCCATCCGTCCCTCCCCCAAAGCCAGATCGAGATCACAACCTCTCACTCACGCTGGCTGATAAGTGCTGCCCTTGTTTTTTATCTTTTTGTTTTTCCCCTTGACTTCATTCGTTTTTTACACACGAGTATAGTACACGAATAAAGCTGCAGTCAACTTCCTGCAATCTCCCAGAAAGACGGAAATTTTCACGTGAGGAGCCCTCCGCCCCCCCCCAACAATGCAAGCAGACCTTAACAGAGCGACGACTTGTGGCTGGGAGAGGTTTCCATCGTCCGTCCTAGAACTACCCAAGACATAGCTCGCGAGCTGAGCAGAGCACTGGAGAAGCACAGCGCCAAAGTAGCTCTATCAATAGGCCAATGGCAGCGAACGCGGGTATCACAGAAAGGGAGAGAGGAATCACGGCACGCCTTGCACACGACAGATAACCAAACCCGCTCCCGGCAGGAACGAAAAAGCCGTGACTTCCAAACCAATCGCTCAACCGATCTCGTGTGAACACGCACTTCAACGGTCCCCCCGAACACCCCAAGCGAGAGGTCAATCTATTCCCGAAATACGAAAAAAATCCTCACCAGCTTTCTCGCAGTTCAAACACTCATGATACCTCCTTTCACACGACGGGAGCTTCCAACCTCACCATCTCAAATACACCTTAGCCTTACCCGACGCATCGCTGGACCATAAGTTACTGCCCTTACCACTCAGCACAAACAACCAATTGACCCCATTAGGCTCCTCCGCATGCACGTTTCTACGATACCAACATCAACAGCGCCTGGCCTTAATGGCACAGTGCCTATCGACCCCACCACAACCAAGCAATCGCTCTGAAGGGCTAGACCCGTGGAGGAAACTTTGGCTCAATACAGAATGCTAGAGTATTCCTCGAATGGCAGCGGCCGAGGTTACTCCATTTTCAACAATATTAAGAGTGTGTGCGGGTGGCCAACAGATGGGGGGATTGTATTCGATAGGAGTGGTAGGGGTTTTATATAAGGTATGGGTGGAAATGATGTGATGGAGATGTGGGTAATCCTCAGTGTTACTTTTTTGATGGATGGACTTTTGATTGTGAAAACGTAGCTGTATAGTCTATTATTTGTGAGAGAGTTATTGTGAATCACTCATGCCGCACTCTTAGACCTAGACTACTACGATAGGTAGATGAACGCACTCTGCCAGACTCCAGCTAGGTAATCACGATATCTCACTCGATCGGCGCGGTCATTAGTACTAAAAGAGCCAGTGCATCCTGGAATATGAAGATGTGAGAGCCAAGGATCTACGGCGCAAACGCATAAATGCCAAAGGTGAACCGGGCCGATTTCCGGGGCACAGGCGTAATTCTTACCCCCTCTCTAGCGACCACTCGGAGAAGGAACGTCGTGATATTTTCAATTTCGTCGCCACAACCAACTGAGTGATTGACTAACACACACGATTGATCAAGAGTGCTCCGCACCTCAACTTACCAAACCGCTCTGGCTTTGATGCCCTCATTTTGGATGACTCTATGTGCTGGTTAGTTAAACTGGAGGTAGGGGAAAGGTAGAGAAGAGGAGGATTAACTCAATCCAATAATTATCTGGATCCAGGATAAATGCCACATTCTTCATCCTACCGTCCGTAAGTCTCTTCTTCCAATTAGTCTTCAAGTCCTCGAATCTAGCGCAGGCGGCGTCGAGGTCGTCCACAGAGATGCAAAGATGCTGCCTCCCATTTTAGCCCTCATCCTTTGCCTTCCCGACAAACTGCAAAAGGAACAAACCCCAAACCCCTGCGGCTCCTCATTCCCATTATGATACTTGAACCCCTCATCCTTCTCGGTGCCATAATTCCACATAAGTTCCACAAGCCCCTCCCTATCTACCAGCGAATCCTCCTCCTCTCCTCCTCGCCTATAGCCCAAAATGTAAAGATTAAATCCAGCCTCGGGCTGCTCTATTGTTCTGAGGAGACTCATTCCCAGCACAGAGCGGTAGAATTGCAAGGACTTTTCCGCGTCCTTAACGCGGAGCGCCGTGCGGTTGAAGCGGTAGACGTCCAAATTGGTGGAAGTAGATGCAGGGTCGGACCGCTTTTGGCCAATGATCCCGACCCAGTAACCGTCTGGGTCTAGCGCGAAGGCTATGTTTTCCATGCGCCCCTCCTGGAGGCGCTTTTGGAAGGGGACATTATTAGATTCGAGCCTTCCGCAAGCCCTTTCAAGGTGGTCGGCGGTGATGGAGCTGTTCGTTGAGTTAGTTCAACCAAATATTGAGACTCGCTCGCGATGCGCGAAACCTACATATGTCGGAACCTTATACCAAAATACTAGTCAGCCAGCATCCGAAATGCAACCGGGAAGGAGAGAAACATATCTCTATGCGGCTCCACATTCCCATTATTAACCCTGTAATTGTCGTCATCCTCCGTCCCATCTATTCCACCGTCAGCCAACACCCCAACCACAGCTAAACAAATCCCAGAAAAGGACATTACAATTATGTGTAAGCTCCAAGATCCCCTCCCGATCCGTCCACTGCCTGCCAGCGCTCTCGGCCCCTGGGTTATCGAAGGCGAGGAAGTAGAGGGAAAACTTGGCCTCTTCAAAGTCGAGCTTGCGGATGAGCTTCATGCCAAAGTTGTTTTGGTAGTATTCAACTAGTTGGCTGCTTTGTCAGTGCCTGCATTTTTTTTTTATTACGGGGAGGAGTTCAATACAGACCGCTCCTCTTGGGATCCTTCACCCGAAGCCTAGCAAGTCCCCACTATCAGTAGCCGCAGTACACAGGGGAAGAGAGAAGAAAAATAGTACATGGTATGGTTCATCTTGTACAAAGATGTATTTGTGGCCATGGTGATTGTCCGATACTGGTACCTGATCAGAGGCTTTAGCGAATTGAATGCACTCCTGAACATAGTGAGCGCACTTTTTATGAGAAGTCTGTTTTTTTGTGTTGAAAATGCGGTGCGGGGTTGGGGGGGTGATAAATCCTATTCCTTACAACAAACTCCATTCTAAGCAGGTTCCATGATAACTATGTACCGGTGACGCCATTACTAACCCCAAAACTTAGCCCATGCCTAATTCATATCACACGGTAGTGGGTTGACTAGGGAGTTTCTTATCCCCAAAATACAGCACAATACGACAGGGTATCGACGAACAGCACAAGTATTTTTCAAGCAATCCTAACCAACAGAAGCGCTATCCGATCCAGTCTTATAAATACGCTTCACTTAAAGAATCTGTATACGGATCAACAATAAAAAAAAGTGATTACAGCATAACAACACCAACACCGCTACCGTTTTCATCATCGACATTCTTCTTATCATCAATTCCCCCATTGATGAATGAGGTTCTCCAGTTGAAGAGATAATAATGCAATGATCCATCGCCAGCTCCAAACTTTTGCTCCCGAAGGAAGAGGGTATTATCGAGCAGGGTGAGAGCATTGAAGACATCAAAATTAAACTATCCACATATTAGCAGAATCCATATTTAACAAAAGAAAAAATGGCGTACTTTCTTAGCCAGGATAAGAGCATCGTGTATCAGTGCATTCAAGCGAACTTTAAGCTCCTTCTTAGCATCCGGAGACTTGCTGAAAGCAGTCTCAGAGGCATAATAAAAGAGGTACGCAGCACGAATAGTCTCCTTTTTCCCAAGGACGGAGGACTCGAGAGAGTAAAAGGAGAAGAAATCGGTGATTTTCCCTTCCTCCTACATGCAAGTCAGCCCCGTCACTATCAAAAGCAGCGGAAAGCCCAACCTCAACGACGTAGGCCCAAACAATCCTTTCGTCATACTTTGATCCTCCGTTCAATAGCCAGTGCCCAATCTCCTCAACTGTGAATTTTGGCACTAGGTCAAACCTCTCCATATACCTCGTGAACAAATCGTGCACAGCATCCAAATCCTTCACCTCCATCTCTCTCAAACCCTTAGTTGATGGATTCGCAGATAAGGCATACTTAGTAACCTGCTTAGCCTTCGTACTAGTGGTTGGTAGAGGCGAAAACCCAGTCTCGTACAACTTGAGCCAATCCAAACTACGATGGAAATATCTGCAAGTACTAATCGGCTTCGGCAACACAACACCGACAGTGTAGATAGCATTCCATACACTCTCAAGATTGCACCTTCGGGTGACCTCCTTGATCAACACAGGTGCAAGTCGCTTACCCCTGAGCTTCTTGTGAATGCATAAGAAGTTGATTTCCGAGCACTGGAGGGTGTTCTCCCGAACTCTCAGAGTGACAGGGATACCGGATATGAAGGCTACGAGCTTCTTTGTACTCGTTACACGCACGCCGACATGCCAGTTCTTGATCCAACCCGGAGCCTTCAGTGCCCAATGCAGGAACGACGCAGAGTAGTTGAACCGGAACATGGCCTCGCTATCCTCAACGTAGTGATGGGTGAGTAACTCGTAGACCTCCCGTACCTATTTCCCAATAAGAACGAGTCTACCAAACAAGCCTTAAGAGAAAAAGGAAAAAAACCTGTTGGTCATCCGTAAGATCGACAGTATCCCACTCGAACCCTTCAATCAATTCAGCACCCACAGTCTTGACCCTCGCGAGATCATTCTCCCTTAGCGGTCCATCCGGCAACGGCTCGTCCTCACCTACACACCCAATCAGAATCTCCAATTCCAACCATCATTGCGGAGAACTGTAGAAAAACAAACCAAACTTCGGAACCGGCTGCGTATTCCAAAACTTGTAAGAAGCCATATCCTTCTGATTCTTCCCGCCGGTAGCCTACGCATCCCACCCACAAGTTTCAATCAGCAATAACCCTCCTCATCATCAAAGCCATTGCGAAAGCAGCAAACATACCATCCCAGTAGAAATATCCTGCAAGCTCATCCCTCTCATCACCTCCTCGATCTTCTTCGAGTCCATGCCCTGCATCTCCCCGGCAAGACTTGGATTCGCCCTGAGCAGCTGCTCGACCAACTCTCTAGAAATATTAGAAATATTGCTCATTTCTCCCTCTCCGCTCCTAGCCTTTCCCTTTCCCTTCTTTGAAGCTTCAGGTTTGGATTCCTCGGACATTTTGGTGTTTGTCGGGTCGTTTGTTCAACTTATCTACCGGAAGAGAAGCAAGCAAACGGATTCGAAGAATTTTGATTGGCGGTGGGGGTTTTTTTTTTTCCCCTAGAAGGAGACCCGGTTACTAGTATGAGAACAAAGTTCAGTGCAGTTGGGCCTCAGTGGAGAAAGAAAGAAGGGGGATTACCGGAGGTATGATAATAGTAAAGGGTGGGAGGTGGAGAGTATTGAGGGGGGAATGGGGTTTTGAGTCTCAACGCTATCGAATCATATAACCTCCTGATAGCTCCCCCCTCATTTTTTCTTTCCCCCCTTCCTCCCCGACCTCATGTCAAAGCCTTGTTTCGGAGCACAAACCCGTAGAGCTGTTTCCTCGCGCGGCAGCCTAAGGTGGTTTACAAGTGCTTTTACATGCACAATACGAACTTGTATGGCACCCGAGCAATTGAACCCCGCAATTCAGTTGACACGGCAGAAATTTTATTGCTTCCCGTATGTTAAGGAAGGCTTGCTCTATGCTCTTGCTGCCGCCTCCATTGGCACGATGGCTGAATACCCACTTGCGAGTACCACATCGAGATGCCCTCTTCCGGATGCCTTGATGACCAGGACGAGCGAAGCTCCTATAGCAAGACAGAGCCCCACTCTGTATCGTACTTAAATCTACGAGTGTGGTAAATCAGACCGCAGCATCATAGCACCGCGCACCCCCTCCCCCGCAAAGTTACCCTACCTTCTCCCCACCACCACCGCCAAAACTTTTTCTTCATACCACCACCCCACCAGCAACTTTTCCCTCCCACGACCAACCAATCCACCAACCACAGGATGGCCAAAACTCCCAAACCAAAGCCCCGTCCAGCACCCCGCTCCCGTGCCGCAAAGCGCGCCCCGTCGCCCACAATTACAATTCCGCTCCCGCGCCCCGAGGAAAAACCCACCAGCGAAAAACTAGCCGCACTATCCGCCCGCACAGCGGATAGCGGCAGAGTGCAGAAACGCAAGGGGGGGAAGACGCTTTCCAGGCAGAAGCGCAGGAGGAAGGAGGCCGCGATGGATAAGGCTGGCGCAGTACTAGAGAAGTTGGAGAGGAAGAGGGAGGCCAGTGCCCGGAAGGGGGGGGTTGTTAAGGGGAGGAATGTAAGTTTTTTTTCTTTCCCCTCTCTCCTAATGGGGTGGCAGGTGGGAGGCTAATGATGGGGGAATAGACGGATTGGGATAATTTGAATGATATGATTGAAGAAGAGGTTGAGAAGGCGGTTGAAGGGGGGGAGGAGATTTTGGTGAAATAGGGGTGTAATATGTGGGCGTTCTCGGGCGTTCGGCGGTATAGATGACTGTAATATATTTCGTTCAACAAAAATTTTGAGTTTATATGGCACTAAATTTTATTCATGACTCTGGAAGATAGACACATATCATGCCCAGAAAAAACCGCCAAAACTATCTCATCCGGTAAGCCAAATCTCATGTGATGATATCAAAAAAAAAAAAAAAAAAACAGAGGGGGAGTTTTGATACTCCCTGTGATAAGGCTTTTCCTTTCACAATTCCTTAATCAACTCCTCAGTGGTATGATATCATCACAGCGACCACAACACCACCATACTATCACTCGTTTCGCCAAACCCCACTCCAAAGCTATTAACCTCTCTACACTTCCCACCCAAGAGAAAGGAAGGAAGAAAGGAAGAAAGAAACACCTATGACAGTATTACCAAAACCACAAACCCACTCAACCCCCACTCCCAATCCCCAAGCAATACCAGATAAGTTACAACAGATATAAAGAAAGGCAAACCAACAAGCCATCGGAGGAATTTCACACCCCAAGATTCTTCCCAAGCGTCGGTTCCCAGAGAAGTTCATCATACGTCCGCCAATTCACATATACGATGCTACAGCGCACTGAGGCGGTGGGGCTCGTATATAAGAGTTTCCGGCAATTAGGTATCACACCGTAAAGGAATTAGGAAATCTAAGCCAGCTCATAACCTCTAGATCCGGAGAAAAAATCTCCCGGGAGGGGGGGGGGGCAGCATTTCCCCAACGCTATTCGCAACTCCCCTAACCCCGTTCAAATCACACCCACCGCGGCCGAGTCTGATATAATAATGCGCCTCGAAGAGAGTTTCCAGGCACTGAAAGATATCCAAACTTCAACAGCGCCCCTCGTGTTCATCCTGGGTTCCAACCAGTCGAGACGGGAAAACGTGAGAAGAGGAAAAGAAAAGAAATATCATAAGTGGTGAGCGCACGGTATTATACTCCAAAGAGGATCCACCCACGGAAAGGTTCACCCTTCACGCAAAAGCCGAACCCGCAACCCCCAGCACTCGACACCGCGACACCGTTCGTGACCAGTGCGGTGCCGGAGGATCGAATAATCCCCCCAGCGAGAACTAAACGGGGTGGTGGGTGGGGGGGACAAAAAGCTCCAATCACAAAAACGCACTCGCACCTGCGGCCTGCGACCTGCCTCTGTTGGGAATTTCCCTTTTATCATATTATGAAGGTGGATTTCAGGAAGGAACTTAACCCTACTTGTGTCCAGCGCAGTGCTTTACATTCCCAAAGCATGGGGAATAGTCCCGTTTATGCTTGAAGACCTGTATGATAAATAAATCCGGTATCATATTACAGCACCGAGAAATGGGAAAGGTGCGCCTGCTAAATCAAACGCCGCAGACGATCTTTGAACGCCTCCGGCGAGTTTTCAGACATGATGCACAATGCAAATGCCATGGAACAGAAAAAATCAATCTGTGAGTATGAGATGAGTTCTACTAAAGGTATGGTACCGATGGAAGCACAAAACAACAGCCAGCCGCAATTGCCTCCAATTTCCCCTTCCACGATGGTACCACACCCATAGCATCACACCGTCCTAGGACGATAGATTTAATTCAAGTCCCAGGCACGAAACCAGCCAGGTGCGATGTTGTCAGCATCAGCATCCCAACAATCTCGGAATAAACCGGACGAGCTACTTTTCCAAAAAAAAAAAAAAAACCCCCATCAGGGTACTGTATCGTATCGGCGGCAAGCTACACCCATACGCCATCACTCACGGAGAGAAGACAAAAGGTATATAATATGATATATATAAAAGATCCATCAATACAAAGTCATCACGATACCGCTCGTCAATCACTCCGTTTCCACTACCCACTCCAAAGGGAACAAGCCGAAGACAAGAAGCAAAAAGGGAGGATAATCACACAACCCCCGTAAACGCACGTAGTCATTTAGATACTAATGGATGGGTATATTGAATGAATACTTGCTGCCCTTTCTTTTTGCCTACTCCTCCTCACCCCATCCCCCATCCAACCGCCACCCCCCCCAGTGAAGCCCCAAATTGACTGAAACTCAGAAGACCCTTTGACGGATAAGTGAAGTAATAGGACATGAAATACAATATTTCTCACATCGTGGAAAAAACAGCGATTCCCAGATAGAGTCGAGAGCGAGCAAGCCGTCTGTTGTGTCAATTGGTTGATGATGTGAGAAGCGAAATAGAGATTAATGTAAGTCTTAGAGTGGTATTTTTTTCTTCTTTCCTTTCATAAGAAATTTTCTACTCTGCGCACTCCCATTTTCCAACAAACCGAGGCTGAAAAGATGAAAGAAGGAAAAGGAAAAGAAAAGAAGGAAATCCCTTTCATTAAAAAAAAAAAAAAAGATTCCCCTTTTCATCGTTATTTCTCCCCCTCCCTAGTCTCTCTCTCGTCGCACGTAGTACTCCTTCGTTTCGACAACGTCCTTCCTATCGTGCAACTGTCCATATCATAAGTTCAAAGGGTCCAAAGGAGAATTCGGTCGGACTAAGATGGTCTCTTTTACGAACCTTCTTCCTCTTAAGCGCAGCAAGTCTCTTCTTCTTGGTCATGGCATTGATATAAGTCCCGATGACGAAGGCGACAAGGTTAAAGAACGGCACCCATGCATGGGGAGGCAGGAACTTTTGCGCGAACAGTAACGCCAAGGGGCTCGTGCACCAAGACACCTTCATAATCGGCATGAAGCCGGCCTTGACCGTAGCGCGGATCTGGTGCGGTGTGCGAGCGCCGGCAATGACGGCCATGCAGGCGAGATAGACCGAGTTCTGGACGGGGGACACGACAAAGTTGCTGACCAGTATTTGCGCCAACTTGCTCTTGCCCGAGGTGCGACCGGCGAACGCCTTCTGGAGCAAGGTCACGAGAATGTGACCGAGCGGAGCGGAAATCAGAGCACCATAGATGGCCATCTTCGGCACGCGAGGGGTGAGATAGGATCCCTTCTTGTCGCGATCACCGGCGTAAACAGACGCGAGGATTTCCTGGAGGGCGGAAAGGGTACCCGAGGTGAGCATCTTGGTCCGCCTGCGCACGAAGAAAAATAACTGCTATCAGTACATCATACATTCCCAGGAACACATCGCATAGCGAGTGATGGAATAGCGGGGGGGAATAAAAGAGTAAAGGAAAAAGAAAAGAAAAAAAAACACGTCAAAGAGTAATGGGGGAGAAGGGAGCTTTACAGAGGATTATGTTGAAGCTGGGAGAGGTAAAGCTAAAATAGTTGAAATTCCACATTAGCACTCCAAAGCATTATCTCTCTCTCCTGCTCCGCCCAGGAAACAATGAGTTACCTGCAAGTAGCCATCACCCCTCATGAACCCGCTGCGACCATGAGAAGAGGACGAGGTGATCGTCTTGACCTCCTTTCGGATCAATTCTTTCGTGTCAACCATTGTTTATCAAGCTGTCTACCGTGGAACGCTGTTAGCGATGAGCACAAGTAAGTGAGTGGATGGACAGATGATGGGGGGTTGTTTGGTTGTCAGGAGAAGGTCGCGTTGTTGTTGGGGGGCTGGCGCTCGATTAACAGTTGAAGAGACAAACCTTGACCACAACAAGATTGCACTAAAGCGGAAAGAGCAAAGGTAATTGGGGTTTCGCGACGTGATACTCGAGTATACGCAGTCGGGCGGCAACACGACCTGCAGTCAAGGGTGGGGGGATATAGCGAGTGAGGAGGAAGAGGACGGCAATGAGGGAGGGAGGGAGCAATAGGGTAAAAGAAGGGAGAGTGTGGGGTAGAAGAAAGGAAGGGGGGGATCAAAGTGTTTAATGAGTTAAATTATCTCTTTCCCTCTCTCCCTGCCCGATTCTGTCTGTGATACGATGAGCAGATGAAGGGGGGGGGGGGTTGGAGACTGTATGTAGCAGAGTGCTAAGATACTGACTGATGTTTTAAACGTTTGTAGACGAAAGAGCAGTGGTTGGAGGAAAGAGGGAGGAAGGGGGTTTCCCTCCTTCCTTACCCTTCGGTTGTAGGTCGGGGAATTGTGAGCTGGCAGAAGGACCGAGGCAGGAGAAGAAAAAACAATATCATACCATCCCTCCCCAATGGAGGAGACCTTGAAGGGGGAGAGAGCTGAAAGTCGTTGGGCGCGACCATCTGTTTACTTTTACCGGTATCATACTGGACCCGCCCGCTGTAGACAGAATAGAGAAGGACAAAGGTAGCCACACCCCCTTCCAGGATAGGTTGATCCCTGCACAATACTCGAGTACTGTAATTCCCCCAGAACCGCCAGGCCAAATGCTGTTTGGGGAAGAAGGAAAATGTTAAAAAAGGCACAGCGAACGAATAAAATTAGTGATTCAAACCACCCGCACCGCGCGTACCGCAAAAAACCATCTACCTCCCGGTAACTTACTCGTACTCGGTACACTGTACTGCACGTATCAGAAAGCCAGAGTCGAACCAGCTGCCGGTACCGAATTTCAGCCCTTTTCGATCTACTGTCGTCATTTTAGCTGGACGGACGAATGCTCTCCTTTTCGTCTGGTCCGTGTTTCTCGCTTTTGGCGAGTCTTTCTAATCACATCCGCCCCCCCCCAAGCAGCAACTGATAGTAAACCATCTTATCAGATTCGATCACCAATCAAAAGAAAGTCACATGTCTTGGCAAAAGCACCCGAGTGAGAACCATGACGGACCCTCTGCCTTACCTGTCCTCTATCACCCAATCCTCTCAACATGCCAAAAACAACCAACCTAAATGCCCCATAACACGGTGTCATACCATCCAACGCTTCTCCATCCTCTCCCTCTTTTCCCTCACCTCTTCCACCCCCTCTCCCAAATCCGCAAAAATGTCATTGACAAAACCACCCCCTACCCCCACCGCTAACACCCTCGCTCCCGAAAAAACCGCCCCGGCGGCCCCCCAAATCGTCGTTGTCTTTACCAGCGGACCTTGCACCCACGAAAGATTAATCCGTGAGCCCAACAGAATCTGCAACATCTGCCACAGGCGGCACTTCTTCAATTGGGCGTACTACTGCGAGGCCTGCCAAGTCAGTGCCTGCCACAGTTGCCGTCCCGGGTGGGCGGAGCGTGCGTGGGTGACTTTTGCTACGGTGTTGGACGAGTGGAAGGGGAGGAGGAAGTGAGAGGTTTGTTTGTTGTCCCTTTTTTTTCTTCTTTTCTTCTATGGATTGGTGTGGATTGGTGTGGAGTGGTGATGGAGTGGTGTTCCAAGGTGATTCCAGTCTAGTAGGGGAGTAGCGTGGTCGGGGGGTGATAATAGCAATGTTCAATGCTTCTTTATAACCGAGTGATATTTCATGACAAAAACACATGCTTTCTTTCCCACTTATGCTCGAGTATATACCAAGATCAAGTCCAAAATCCAATACTCAATAGCCCTGATAACAAGTTACTCGTGAGCGGGGGGAGGAACGAGACAGGTGGATTCTTCAATCATTCCAGACAGATTCATAAGCTTCCTTCCTTCTCCCAGCACGTCTCTCTAGAGCTCTAACGTCCCATAAAGCTAGCTACGACTATTCGATCCACGATGTATAATTAATGGAAGAGAAAAAAGAAAAAGGAAAAAGAAAAAAGGAAAAAGAAAAAAGGAAAAAGGAGAGAAAAGAAAGGAAGGAGAAAGAAAAAAAAAAAGAGAGAACAAAACACCGGGACAGAGGAACAGGGGAAGGAAAATATAAATAGCCAGCCCAGCGCTGCCGGTAAATAAAAGAGGGAAAAAAAAAAGAAAGAACCTGCTAACGCAACTTGCGGGTATCTTGCGTTGCGCAAAACCCCGTCCGATACCAATGGAAATAAGATAGATAATAGGATAAAGAAACTAGGAAACTTGTGATTTTCGACCAACACCCCTGCCAAACCTTCCCTCTAGTGCTCGCTTATAAAAGTAAGTTAAAGCCCCCGCATTTGACATCCTCCTCTGAGGTAAAATAACCAGAAATAAAGGTAAAGCATAACTCCAACGAAAATAAAATAAAATAGTTAAGACCCGAAAGGAAGGATGTGGGGGAATAGTAGTTGCTATTGAGGGGGGAAGAAAAAAGTCACAGAGAAACCTGAAGATAAAAAACCACAGAACTAAGGCCTGGTCCGGCCCTTACGCTGCAGCCAGTCACCAAGCATTCCGTCAAGACGCTTTTCAAATGGTTAGTCAGACACCGAGCAATCTGGGAAACCTAGCGAGTTCTCACCTTTGTGATGTCTGCGAGCTTGGTGCTGGCGTCTTCAAACAGCGGTCCAATGTCCGGATGCTCCGTCTTAGCCGTAGAGCTATTGCTTTTGTCCTGTTGAACTACAATCAACATGTCCCTAACATCATTATCATCCTCAAAGTATGTCCTTAGACTCCAATCTGACCAAGTGCGAGTCATAGCATGAGATTCGGGTGAAGATGACTCCAATGTATTTGCACGATCAATTATTTCTGGTGATGAGTGTATCGGGGACGTATTCTCTGAACTGCTGGAAAGATCGAGGATATCAGGTCGGTCGGAAATAGCATCATGGTATGAAATATGCTCGGGCGATTCAGAAAGGCGTTCCTGGAACTGGTGAGCATTGTTACTATTACTAACTCCGGATCCATTCCCACTGCTGCCGGAATCACTGGGTTGTGGAGCAGGTTGGTAAGTGTTTGGAACATATGCTGGTTTGATGTTGTCCTCCGAAGGTTTCCGAACCGCTTCATTGTTTGCGGCGGTTTCTAAGGCCTTTGGTTCGGCAAAAGAATATAAAGTAACAGGTTTCTCCTCAGCTGGGGGACCTCTATCTGTTTCCCCGCTTCGACGTTCAGATGATGTAGACCTCTTTCGACCGGAAGGAGCATATACAGCAACTGGCTTGGAGGCGGAATCATTACGGTAAAGCTCAATGGATTGTTTTTGCTGAGCTGTCGGGCCATGAACCACATCGCCCTTATTCTCCCTATCGGCACTATTTGGCGAACCACCAGACTCAACCCTGCGTATTGTCGAAGGTGCTCCGGTGTTGACGGTCGGTTTTTGGGGGCCTTCCCGTTGCTGTTGTTGCTTCCGCAGGGTTTGCTGAGCTTGCTGTCTTCGTTGTTCCTCACGCCGGTGAAATTCCTCCTTATCCTTCTTCACACTCTCCATTTGGCTATCCTCAGACTCTCTTGAACTGATGCTGGCGTTCTGCTTATCAGCCCTATCACCGCTGTGGAGCCACTCCTCCAGATCGTCTTCCTCGTCTTTTCTCCCTTTCTTGTTCCTCTTCTTGAACAAGTTACCAAGCACACTTCCACCCTTCTTCGCCTTCCTGGAATCCTTGCTACCAGGTTGAGGCGAGGTAATACCATCGTCCCGCTTCGACGACTTTTCTATTGAAGTTCGACCTCGAACGTGATCAACTGAGGTAGTGGCATCGTCGCGCAGAAGATTTGGGGTCAGAGTAAGCTTCTTGGTTTCGGTTTTGTCGTCACTAAATACAGCCGAGTCGGGATGTCTCAAAGAAGCAGGAGCGGGGTTCTTTCGGACTTTTACATCCCCATCATCCCGAGAAATGTCACTACTATTCTTTGAATCTGACCCCGATCTAGATCGCTCATCGCTAGACTTTCCACCGGAATCTACACGCTCAATATCATTAGAGCCCCTCTCCTGATCTTGCCCCTCATCTTCAGCATAATAGTCGCGCTCCCCTTCCTCTTCGTCGGTGGAGTATTCATATTCCGATGCTTCGACATATGTCGGAGGGCTGAAGGTGACAGTTTTTGCATTACGACGGCGCATAGCCTTCCGAAGAGGGTTCTTTGATTTCTCGTGAGCATTATCGCTAAGCATGTTTGATGCCAGATCTATATTGCGATGCTTGTTAAGGCGTGCCAATCGCTCCGTAGGTGTCTCAATATGCTCTGCTGGAAGGTATCCTAGGCAAGCAAGCGAATGTCCCACGTCAGCAGGAATTGCGATAGCAGGGGATTCTGTAGGCGTTTTACCTATTGAAGCGTCCCGAACAATTCTGACCAACCACCAGTAGGAATTACTATCATCTAGAAGTACCATGTGCTCCCCCTTAGTGGCATTCGCTTGACCTTTGACTGTAGCAGTGAATGTATGCAAAGCATAAACCATCTCAAAGTCAATATCCTCTATCATCGACAAAGACACATCCATTAGCCCATCCCTTGGTAGTAGCCGGAAATTACGCAACATTACACACCGTCAGCGATGCTGGGACTGCTCGACATCCTATCGCCCATATCATCATCGTCGAAGCTTCCATCATCTCCGGCCATCTCTTCGGACCCAGCCAAATCCCGCTCAACCTCATCTACATCGGAATCCTGCAGGAGATCACCCGACTTTTCCGGGTCTTGTTTCGTTTGAGCCTGCTCTGTTGAAACGTTGAAAATAGCCTGTGATTGAGAAGGGGCAAGACCAGCAGTGTTTCTCGGACCGCTAGGGGCGTTCGAATGATCCTGCGCAGGGGCCCGATCGCGTGACTGTAGATCAAGCGTGTCTGAACCACCAAATATTTTTTTAGTAAATAAAAGCATTATTAATAAGGTGGGTGGGGCGGGGTTATTTTTCGGGATTGACGGCAATGAAAGAATGGGGAGGGAAAGATAATGATGGGAGAGCCCAGCTCTTCTCTGCACCGTGAAGAATAGGGTTGGCGAGGGAGGGAGGGCTCGGGAGGGTGGGTTGGAAAAGGCGACAAGTATCTCTAAAGCTCCATCAACAAGAGTAGGCGAACTTACCGGCCCTTACGATTTGCGGGCGAGTCATGCTTTTTTTCTTTCCTTTTTTTCCCTTTCTTCTTTTTCGCCTACAGCTAGCAAGCACGGCTGTATAGTGTATAGTGTATAGTGTATAGTACTTACTTACGTGGGTAACTGTACCCCAGAAGGCTAACAATTAGGG